CAATTTCATGTCACCTTGATGAAAGAACGAAGGGGTGGAGTCTAGCCTGTCAATCAGGTCACAGCTCGGTGATCCCTCCTTGTGGGCGTGGCCTCCTCGTGAGGATTCTGGGACTTCCTCTCTTTCTCCCTGGAGGTGGGCCACCCACTCTCTGCTTCACCTTCCTGTTGAGGAGACACACTCAGAGAGCTGGGGGAGCATCATACGAGCGCTGAGATGCTTCCACCACCACTGGATCCACAAGACTTTTCACGCACCAGCCTGTGATTTTCCTGCATCTGGCCTCATTGCTTGTGCTGCATGAGTCTACAGAGGAATTTATGGACTAGTATAAGATATAAGGGCTAATATCAGACTTATGGACTTGATCTGGACTGGGCTGGGATGTTTTCTTACTATATAACTACTCTCTGATATAAAGCTCTCTCACATTCCTATTAACATTTCTGGATTTGTTTCTCTAGTCAACCAGAACTAACACAACCCTTTATCACGATATGGTCCATTGGTCCAGTTGTAAGATTAAACAGGCGTATTTTGGTGTTGAGGTGTAATCCACACTGAAGGATGGAGTCTTTGATCTTCAACCACCAGTCTTGCAAGTCCTCCTCTTTGAATTCAGCAAGCCAGGCTGCGTCATCTGCCTATGTCAGGTGGTTGAAGAGCCTTGCTCCAATCCTGATACTGCATTCTTCTTCATACCACACAGACAGTAAACTATGAGCCATTTCAGCCTGGTTAAATGCTTACAGTTCAGTGGCACAAATTAGTTCATCTTGCATAACCATCACCACGTTTCATTTCCATTGTCCTTAACAGAAATGGGCCCTCTTAGTGGGAAGCATGGCCAAGTATCAGCCGACATCTTTCATCCGCCCCACCTAAGGTTCATTTCAGCTGATCTGATTTTGGTGGCCATACCCAAGCAGAGGGTTCACTTGGTCCCCACGTGGTGGGACTTGTCCTTGAGCGCCTGCCTCCTCTCGATGGGCTGCACCAAGGAGGAGGATGCCCAGATGATGAGGACCCACATCCAACCAGCTGCCTGGAGCCAAGCCCAAGGGAGCTCCAGCCCAAGGCAGTGCCTTCCCTGTTCATTGAGATGTGTGAGGCATTATCACCATGGCAACAGTCAGGACAGCATCCCATTTGGGTTTTAGGTCAATGTGTCTGCCTGCAGCGCGGACAGTGGATGCAGGAAGGGGAAGATGAGCCACAGAATGAGAAGATTGGGATTTGGGGCCTGCGTGCTCCTCAGAGGCAAAGATGGCAAGACTTCGGCTCACCTACTTTGGATATGTGCCCAGGGGAGTGTTGCGGGTTTGGATAAAAGTCCAAATGTCCAGTTAGAAGTATCGAAGTCTTTATTTTTATATCAGGCTAGCCCAGGCTGCAGTGGGATTTGTTCAAAAAGGAACTTTTCACCAAGATGCAGCCCTGTCTTCCCTGGCCAAGCCTCTTTTATATTATTCAGGGAGGGGAGAATACAGAAAGCAGAAGAAAAAGCACGTTTAAATACATATATCACTAAGTGGTATAGACAAAGTCTATTTAGGTGAAGTTTCAGGAGCCTTGTTTTATGAGCCCATTCCTGGATTTTGTCTCTATTGAAATGAACACTCCTGTCCCTGAGAGGCAGACTTACAGCATCTCTTGATCCTGAGAGAGGGGTCGTTTAAGCAAGAATTGCTCTAAGGGCACGTGGTGCTATGAGCTTGTCCATTTCAGGGAGACCAGTCCCTGGTGAAGGACTTCAGAATTAGTAGAGGGCCAGCGACAAAGAGAAGACCTTCAACAAGAGGGTGGACCCAGTGGCGGCAATAGGGCTCACCTTTAACACACCTGTGGGAGGGGACAGGACTGGGCAGTGTTTGCTCCTATGGTGCATAGGGTTTCCATGAGTCTGGCCAGACTCCATGGTGACTCACGAGAACAAGTTTGAAGATGACAAGGCCCAAGGCTGGGCTTGGGAGGTGACAGGCTTGGTGAAGGGAGGCAGAGGGAGCCCCCCAGGGGTCCCTGGTCTCTCTGTCTTGCAGATCAGGCTGTGTGATAGGGTGGCTCTAAAGGAGACCCAAGGAACAGGATCAGGTAAACAAGGAGAGTCGATCTGGCTGAGACTTGCAGGCCCGCGCAGGGCCTTGGGGACAGTGAAAGGCGCCTTGGGGCCAGTCATTAAGTGCTTGGTGACTAACCCACCAGCCGCCCTGCAGGAGAATAATGTGGTGGCAGGCTCCTGGAAAGATCAGTGAGCCTCGGGAACCCTGTGGGACAGGTCCCCTCTGGCCTACAGGATCCCCATGAGTCTCTGTGCACTTGGCAGCAGCGGGCTTGGCTCTGGCATTTTGGTGGGGGCAGTGGTGGGGGCTCAGGGTAGAACTGGAGATGCAGGTTCATTTCTGGCCCATGCACCCTCAGGAGCAGCCCCCAGCACCACCTATCTGTTGGGGGCGGGGAGTGCCTGTGGCTGGGGAATTGTGTGAGTGTGTGTGTGAGAGAGAGAGAGAGAGTAAAGGTGAGTGTGGCCCCAGAACTCAGCGGGAGGCTGGCTGTGGTATGTAGAAGAGGGTCAAGGAGAGGCTTTAGGGAGCCCAGACGTCTGAAGCCAGGAGGTTGGAAAGAAGAGGTAGGTAGGTCTCAGAGAAAGAATCAGACCAGAGGGTGGTGAGCAGCCATGGAGGTGACTGGTGGGTCTGTTGTGCCCTCTAGTGGCCACCCTCAACTGGCACTCACAGGGACTCTGGTATAAGTGCCCCTGTGGGGTTCTGAGATTGTCACACTTCCTGGGAGTAGAAAGCTTTATCTTCCTCCCATGGAGCAGCTGATGGTTATGAACCTCTGACCCTGCTGTGAGCAGCCCACTGCGTGGCCCACCATCCACCACGGCTCCTTCAAGAAGCACTGAGTCTGGGAAAAACCCCTATCACTTTCCTTCCCCAAGCCGGGCAGGTCCTTCCACTTACAGCAGTGGTTAAAACCTTCCTAATGCCGCGACCCTTTAAAACAAGTCCTCATGTGGTGGTGACCCCCCAACCATCAAATTATTTTTGTTGCTACTTCATCACTATCATTTTGCTACTGTTATGAATCGGGCGACCCCTGTGAAAGGGTCGTTCGACCCCCGCCAAAGGGGTCACGACCCACAGGTTGAGAAACACTGACTTAGAATGAGTCCTCCTGGTCCTTCTCCAATGGGCCTCGGGCTAGGAGCTAAGCTAAGAGCTCCCCAAGGGACGGATCACCTGCGGTCGCCAGCCAGGACTCGCGTACCCAGCAGCCGCGTTCAAGCCCTGCCTTACCCCATCTCCCTGGCTGGTCACCTATGTCACTGCCCTGAGCTGCCACATCCCCAGTAGATTCCCCGTGGGGGGAGGGAGGTCGAGTGACTGCTGAACACACTTGGGGCTATTCTCCGACCCCACCCAGAGAGGCCCACTTCCAGCACTGACCACTGATCCCGGCCGGAGCCAAGCCTCACTGTGACACACACAGGTTCTCCGGGAGGTGGGTTGACCCCACGGGCACTGGCCCAGGCACCAGTCTAAGGACCAGGTGCCCTGACTGTGACCCAGAGGGTTTTGCCTCTGCCCTGTGGCAGAGACCGCCCCTCGTTCTGGGGCTCCAGTGTTTGGGCAGGTGCAGCATTAGCGGGAGGGGCTCACTGGAGTGACCTCATTTCCCTGGGGGGAACGTATGCGGCTGGGGAGGTTTGAACCTGCATTCTTCACAAAGGGAGGGACGGTGATGGCAATGTCCAGCCAGCCCCACCACAGGACAAGTTCACCTACTGTCTGTGTCCTGTTTGGGTGATTACGGAAGTTTTTGTATTCTCTGGCCTGCTTTTGCACACCAAATGGCCTGGAGGCCAGTGCCAGCCCGGCTCCCATGCGCCCCGGGAAGCCACGTATGCATGGCACTCGCTGGGTGCCAGGCCTCGCTGGGTGGAGCAGGTGTGAGCTGGGCCTGCAAGGTCAGACTGGAGGAAACTGGAGCCTGGGTAAGGTGGGGCCCCCCCAGGGAAGGACCAGACTCAGGGGGACAGACCCGGGCCCAGAAAGCAAGGTGGTCCTACGGAAGCCCTGGGTCCAACTCTTCTCAGCCTGGCGCCGTTTTTGAGCTCATGTGGCCTCTGCTAGTTTGTGACATCAGGGCGACGGCGCCCCAGCTCCATCCAGATCAGCTCAGGGAACTTAGGGCACTTGGTCCAACGTACACAACCAGCCCTAGAACGTTGGTCAGCTCTCTGTCCGGCTTCCCTCTGGCATCGCCCTTCAGCATGTCCCTCGGATTGGCTGCTGGGACAGACTCAGGGTCTCTGGACTGAGTAGAGGGTAGCTAAGAGGCAGCGGAGCCCAGGGAGGTCGCAGGCTGGGGACAGAGGGCCTGGGTTTGAACCCCACAAGGCCCTCCTCTGGCTGGTTCTTCCCATGGAAGCCAGGGACTGGGTCAGATCGAAACTGGGAAGGGCCATCCCGCCCTGGCAGGGGCTCTTGTCAATAACGATGACACTGGGGCACCCATACCGACTGGCCTCTGGAAGTTAAGAAATCCCCGATGGGGGAATCCAGGACAAAGCATGAGTTGTGTGGACTCTGGTGCTTCATGTTCTGCATTAGCCATTCCTATAGAACAAAAATATTCGAAGATCTGTTTCCATGACTTTTAGCGTCTTGGAAAGCCCCGGGCACAGTTCTACTGTGTCCCACAGGGTCCCTGTGAGCTGGAACCCACAGGACGGGAAGGGGGTCTATGGACTGGGATCATGCAGGCCCATTCTACAGGTACAGGTGAGGCAACCGAGGTTCAGAGAGGCACTGCCATCACACAGCAGTCAGGGCTGTGTTTAAAAGGGCACCTCGCAGAGCCGGGCCAGGGCTCCTCCCCTGCAGGCCTGTGTAGGATTCCTCCGCAGATGGTCCGGCCTTCGTTGATAACCCGGTCGGCCGGGGACAGGACCCCATCTGGCCCCCGGGATCGAAGTGACCATGACATCCGGAGGGTAAAATAGCTCTTCTCTTTATTTGTGTTGATTCTCATCATCGGAAACATTGAACAATAAATAAAACCAAGCAGGGGACCCGGAAGGCAGGCTCTCGCTGATGTCATTCGGCAACGCCCCACCCACTGGTGAACAAGCACAGGTGGGGGGGTGGGGCGGGGGTTAGCCTTCAAAGGACCAACCACGCAGCGGACAAGAACGGAAAGTGCGCAAGAGGCAGGCTTTGGCTTGGAGAGTGTGCTGGGGAGGGGAGCAGAGGGCTGCTGGCCCTGGGGTCCCAGCACAGGTTTGGGGGCTGGCGCAGGGCCTCATGCAGGTGGGCAGCTCTGGTCTGTGTCGGGAACCTGGGTCCCAGGCGGGGCCATTGGCCAGTGGGCTGGGAGCTGGAAATGCAATGTTCCTTCTGGGACCCGGAGCCTCTGCAAGATGCTGTGTGTCTGTCTGTTGTGCTGCCCTGGCCACCTCTGCTCTGGACTGAACTACCTGGAGTCCAGACCAACATGCACTGTGATTTGGGGCTCCCGACCCAGGGGATGGGATCTTATTTGGAAGTAGGTTTTCCCTTGTTATGTTAATGAGGTCAGATCACTTTGGTGGTGGTGGTGGGGGGACTGGAAGGCCAGTGGGGCAGATGTCAAGAGCCCCAGGGGCTTATGGGAGGAGCGGTAAGGCTGGGCTCCTGATTGACTTCCAGCTTCCAGAGCTGGGAGGAAGTCACTTTCTGTTCCTAAACGGCCCCTCTCACCCCCATGGCCATTCCATACAGAGAGGACTCTGAGAGGTGTCAGCACGCAGTTGGGCGGGGAGAGGGGGCCTACAGAGTGGGGCTTTCTGGGGCCGGGGGAGCGCTGGCTGAAGGCCCAGTGTGCTGAGGGCCGAGGTGGAGGGGGTTGAACTTCTGAAGCCTTAGAGGGGTTTGAATCCCCTTTGGCACGTGGCCCTGTTAGCGGGCGTGGGTGCCCCTGGACGCATGTTTGGCCCGCGCCGAGGGCGGGAGGGAGGGGGAGATTTTCCCTGCGTTCCGGCCTCTTGAAAACAGTTTGAGTGCAGGTCACAGACTACATCCCTGGAGGTCCTGCACAGACCACCTGTGGCCTAGTGCCCCTGGACACGGAGCTGGCCTCTCCCGGTGGCCCTAATCACACAGGGACATGGCAACCAAGGGCTCTGAAACCTCCCGCCTTCCCGGGGAATCGCCCAGCTCCTGCTCCCCCCTCGGCTGGTATCCAAGTCTTATGTCTCATTTGCTGGAAGCCCACAGAGGCAAGGATGGAGACGTGGTCTCCCGTACTCTGGGCATGTGGTCAGAGGAGACCGGACCCTGGGGAAGCACAGCATGTGAGGTAAAGTGGATGGACAGCAAAAAGGGGAGGGCCCTCACGGAGATGGACTGACACAGTGGCCACAACAAGGGGCTCCGGCACAGGGACCAGCGTGCGGATGGTGCCTGGCCCTGCGTGTTTCCATCTGCTGTGCAGAGGGTCGCTGTGGGTCAGAACTGATTGGCTGGCACCTGACACCATCAGCACCACCAACACACCCTCTGTCTCCTGCCCACAGCACCCCAAATGCCGCCTGGAAGCTCCTCGCCCGATTCTAAGCCACCCTCCCTCGGAGGTGGCTGAGGCCAGGGGTGCGTGTTGCCTGGGCCACAAGGATCGGCTTTGATTTGGTTAAGGGCCCACGTCCAAATCTTTCAGACTCAGAAAGGCGCTTGCTGGGGTCCCAGAAGGAGAAGACCCACCCCCCACGGGAAGTATGGGGTGACAGTGGAGCCCCAGGGGCAGCCCCAGGACAACCCCCCTCCCCCAGAGTCAGAGCCAGGGCAGGGGTCAGAACCCACGTTCTGGGTGCTGGCTGGATAAGCCCTTCCCTGGACATGGGAAATCTGTAGGCTGCGACGTCTGCTCACCGGTCAGCCCCCTTCCCAGGCTTTGGTCTTCTCCTTTCTACAGAGGGAGGGTTGGGAGGTCAGAGGGCAGTGGGGAGAAAGTGGACCGAGGCTGGGAAGCTGGTCCAGGGGGTGCTCACGTGCACCCCCCTCCCAGGACAAGCCTTTTTCTCTCTCCCAGGAAAGCCACGTGACACAGTGCTCAGCCTGAACCTCTTGTTGCTGAAGCGACTCAGCTTTTTGTGGGTTAGGATGGGAGGTTTCTGGGGGCCAGCTCCTCTCTCTCGTGGACACTGTGTTGGGACCTGTCCCCGAGCTCCCTGGGCCAGCCAGCATGGCCCCGTCCTGGGCCACCCCACTCTGGCCCCTGAGGGTCCAAGGGCAGCATGGGGCTTCATGGTTCTTCCACCCCGAGGACCCTACATTCTGCAGAACTTTGTAGCTGGGCCTTCTGTAACAGAAGCAAACCCTTGTCAGGCCTTGGCGCTCTCGGCAAATAAACAGGCTAGAACCTCTCCTCTGGGCACACTCAGAGTCCACACTCAAGCAGAAACCTAGACCCAGCCTCACAGAGCCTGGCCGGTCCCTTCTGGGGCCTCTTGTAAATGGCCTACAGCCCCCTGGACACCATGCTCTCTCCAGGTTTGGCTGGTGGGAGTGGAACCTTCTGGAAAGGGGAGGTGGAGGTTTGCTGAGGCCACTTGCACTCTGCATAAGCCACCAGGGCATCAGTGCCCCCCGCCTTCTAGAAGGTGGTTTCAGTGGGCAAGATGGGCTCTCTGATCAAACCTGGGAACCGGGAGGGGGCCACCCCTGGCCCAACAACAGGGTGCTGAGTGAGGGACAGGGCACAGCCAGAGGACGGGGCACAGGGCATTGGACAGACAGACAGACTGGTGCCAGGAGACTTCTCCCCAAGCCTGGGGGCCCCCACAGGCAGCCCAACCCCCAGGGCTCATGCACCCCTTCCATAAGCCACAGCATGCTTGATGAAGACCCCATACCAGCCACACCACGTGCAAAACATGAGTCCAATTACCCAAGAAATCAATAAATAATCAGGCAAGGCTGAAAGGAAGACAGGGGCCCACAGGGGGAGAAGAGATGAGGTCAGTCACACCCTGCTCTGTCCGCCACTGTCCCCAGCTTGCCTCCCAGCCCCAGGGCATGGCGTGGTTGGCCAGCATGAACTTGTCCGGAGCCCAAGCTCTGGGGGGAAGATGTCAGGGATCAGAGGCCCCCGTGGGGCATTGCCCAGGGTCTGTGGCATTGCCCTCAAGGTAGTCCTCCCTCAGGAATGTCCAGGGAGGCCCTGAGTGGGAGCTAGCAGGGCCCCTTAAGGGCAGGCCTCTCTGCCCATCCTCGGCTCCTTTACCTCGGAGAAGGGGTGTTCAGGGTCAGACTACCGGGTCACCGGCAGCCAGAGCGGACCTGACACGGCATCTAGCTCCGCCCTGCCCGCCTCGGGGACTGCGTCTGTCCCCCAACTTCAGCAGATCAGGAGACCCACTCTGTAGTCCGGCAGGGCTCAGTGACACCGGACCCGGGTGCAGGGCTGGCGGTGGTGAGGAGGCACGGGCCTGGCCCTTCCTGGCAGCGTCATCTCCCCTTGAAGATCCTGATCTTGTGGATGGAGGCCAGGGCAGCTGTGACATTAGACTCGAAGTCCCCATCGTGCACGCCAGTCTTGCGGAAAGCACCCGCCGACGGGTTGTTCTCCCAGTAATGGTGCCAGTTCCCCTTGCTGTCTGCCCCGAAGCCATACAAGTCAACCTAGGGGGAGGGGGGATCAGAGGTCAGACCACACAGCCTCAAGTGTGCCCCCAGACAGCTGCGGAAGCCCCAAGCGCCAGACCTGCGAGTATGCCAGTGGGCATGCCAGGGTAAGGGGCCTCCAAACCTAACCGCCCCCTGTGTTAAGAAAGGAGTAGGTGCAGTGGCCCACAAGGGGGGCAGAGGAAGCAGAGCTCAAGACAAACGCAGCGCCAGGACCAGAATGCCCACAAATGACCCACGCCCTCCGTGCCATCCCTGGTGAAGCTGACTCCCAGTGACCCTAGAGGACAGAGTAGAACTGTCCTGTGGGTTTCTGAGACTAACTTGTCACGGGAGCAGAAAACCTTTCTTCCACGGAGCGACTGGTGGTTTCGAACTGCTGACCTTTCAGTGAGCAGCCAACTGTCTAATCCACTACAGTGAACCCTCGCCACTTCGTGCTTCGACTTCCGCGGCTTCACTCTATCGCAGTTTTTGCGTAACAGCGCATGCTCTGTCATTACTGCCACTGATTGGCTCATACTGTACACGCTTGATGCCATAAATAATATAATAAATAATAAATGATAATTGTAACGTCCAAATGTTTTACTGTATTTTCATTTTTTCGTTTAATAAATTGGGTAATGGTGACTAAAGGGTGTTTTTTCATGTCCTCTATGCTCTAACTATGAAAATATTTGATTTACAAATAAGAAAATTCCTACTTCGCGGAATTTCATTTATTACGGTAGGGTCTAGAACCGATTAACCGTGATAAACGAGGGTTCACTGTATACCACCAGGGCTCCCAGACACTCCCCCTGAGAACCACGCCCTGATTCCCGGCCTCTCCAGCGGTGAGAAAGTCATTGTCCGTTCTGCAAAGCCTCCCCCTTATGGTACTTCCAGACATCGGTGCTCTGACTGCCCTGGAGACCAGAGACTCTCTTTTGGCCTTGAGTGCCCAGGGCCTTGGGATGCCCAAGTGTTAAAAAACACCACATCCAAAGCCTCACCCTGGCGTGCGCCTACTGGGTTGTTAGGAAAGCCTGCTGGTCCCCCAGCATGGGGTCAAGAGGAGACTGCTGGTGGGTTGAGAAGTCTGGAGGTTCGATTCCCACACCCAGCCGTTCTGATATGGCTTGGGCACAGTCATTGTGAACTGTCTAGTGTACAGCTCTGCCCACGGCTACCATCGCCAGGCGCTCACCGGGAGACGCTGCTCCCAAGCTGAGATTTGTGTCTGGGCAGCGGCTGCCTGCCGGGGGCAGGAGCAAGGCTTTGTAACCTCTTTCCCGGGGGTGTCAGGAGGCTCTGCCAGTGCCCGGCTAGCAATGTGCAGCTTGGACCAGGGAGGGAAGGGGCTGCCTGGCCTGGGTCCTCAGGGTCATCCAGCCCCAGACTCTGTCCCTGCTGCCCCACCCCGTCCAGGAGTGTCCCCTGTGTGGGGCAGGCGGCGTACCTCGTCACAGACGTGCAGGGAGAAGATGACAGACAGGATGCCCGTGGACGGGTACCGCCCATGGCCCTGTAGCCAGTTGTCAAAGACGTACTTGATGAAGCCTGGATGGTAGATGAGGATCTGCAGGGGGGAAGGAGTGAGACAGGCACCCACCGTGGGTCCCACGCGGGCGGGTGGGCAGATACAACCAGGAGGGGCACTCGGGAAGTAAGGGGACAACCCCCCTCCCCCAGGCCCCAGCATTGGTGGAGCTGCCATCCCAGTGGTGAGATGGGCAGGGCCCTCGCACTGATGGAGCGAGCACAGAGGCCAGCGGGGGAAGCGGGGCACCAGGAGGCATTGCTTGGGGGTCATTAGTGTCTGTTCAGTGGGGGTGCATTTGAGAGGGACTGGTGGGACGCTGGTTCAGCATGATGAACTTCATGAAGACACTGTGTTGTGTGCGTGAGACAGGCCGAAACCGTGCTGCTTTGGCACCTTGAGAGGCGCTTCAGAGCGTTCAGGGGCCGCTCCATCATCTTTGCTCTCCACTCCCCCGCAGACTCCTTGAAGTGCCCTCCACTGTATAAGGCGCCCTGGTGGGGCAGTGGGCTGCTAACTGCAAGGTTAGCAACTTGAACCACCTGTTGCTCCAGGGGAGACAGGTGAGGCTTTCTACTCCCGGAACGAGTCCGTCCCAGAAATCCAGAGGGGCAGTTCTACCCTGTCCTGCAGGGTTGCTATGAGTCCGAGTTGACGTGATGGCAGCGATGTATAGGTATATCTGTACACATATGTATATTTGTGTGTGTGCATACACTTATACACGTTTACATCTATATCTACTTACAGACACATATGTATATTAGATAGAATTAGACAAATGTGCACACAGATACTGCTGTACATGTATTCCTTGCTGTCAGGGACTCTATAGGACAGAGGGGAGCTGCCCCATGGTGGGTTAGAACCTCTGACTCTCTGGTTATCAGTGAATCAGTTAGCAGCTTAGCACTGCCCCACCAGGTCTGATTGCAGCTGAAATAAAAATAAGTGAATGAAGGTTAATGGGTTAAACTCACCTTCTCCTTTTTCACTTTGATCTTGGTGGGCACAGGGACATAGGTGCTGCAAGAAAGGGGCAGGTGGTTGGTGGCAGGGTCTGTAGGAGGGCGGCCCTTTCCCCTTGCTCGGTCCCAGACAAGCAGCATTGCCTCCCGGCAGTAGCAGCCTGCAATGCTCAGTGGCAGACACTAGAGGGCAATGGTGGCCCATCGCAAGAGGTTCTGGGGGTCAACCTGTGGGCATGCAAACTCCTTCCCTTACTCAGAAGGGCTGGGATGGGGGATTGGCCCCAAGCTCTTCGGGCAGCCTGAGGAAGGTAGTGTGTGTTGGGTGGGGGATGTCAGGCAGAGTGGCTCTCCTGTCTCTCTGAGAAGCCAGAACCGCTGGGAGCATCCGGTGTGAGGTCTCCTTTTGGGCATTGCACCCCACAGCATGCAAGCACTCAAACCTGACCCCTGGCCCGCTGGCCAAGAGGGCTATGTGTTGGGCTGCCAACCACAAAGCCAGCAGTTTGAAGCCGCCAGCCGCTCTGCGGGGGAAGGAGGAGGCTTTCTGGATGAGATGAGAGCCCTAGTCTCAGAGACCCACGGGGTCAGCTCTACCCTGGCTGACACGGTTGCTAGGATCAGGATGGCAGCCAGGTTTTTTTGTTTTGTTTTGGGGTAGGGGATGACTGTGAACCCTGAAAACACTTCTTTTCAGAAGGAGTGAGGAGAGTGGGGGACGGGAGTCATGGCTGGGTAAAGGCCCGCCTGGGCGAGGGAGCCCCTGGGTTACTGCGAGAAAGTGTGAGCCCCCACGGCTGCTGTGCCCATGGTGCCCGGCTTCTCAGCACAGTGCGGGAGCAGATGCTGCGGCTGTGGGGCCAGGGCCCCGGGCAGTTGGAAAGCCATCTCCTTACCCGCACCCAGCTGCTACCTCTGAGGTCCTCTAGGGACGGCGGGCAGGACTCCCACACCCACTCACTGCTGTCCAGTTGATCTCCACTCAGAGCGACCCTGCAGGACAGGGTAGAACTGCCCCCTGTGAGTTCCCGAGACTGGGACCCTTTATGGGAGTAGAGAGCCTCGTCTTTCTCCAGCGCTCCTCTGGGGCAGCATCTCCTGTCCTGACTGCTTCTTGGTGGGCTATCCTGGGATGCATGGCATCCCTAGCTGATGCAAATAGTGAACCCAAAGGTTAGGGGTTCAAGTCCACCCAGAAGCATGCTGGAGGAGAAGCGTGGTGACCTGCCTCTGAAAACCAGCCTCTCAACTCCCTTCTCGGGGTCTCCCCCATGAGCTGGAAGCTCCTGAGGCAGGCAGGGGGATTCTGGTTTGGGAGGAAATAGATCTCGGCGGGCCACCACTGGGCTGCCATCCAGAGGAGCAAGGCTCAACCTACGTCCAGCTGAAAGTCCCTGAGGACTGAGGGGCCCCCCTGGAACTGGGAGAGTTGGGGAAGGGGCCTGTAGGGGGCGAGGCTTGTGTGCCAGGTCTGGGAGCTGCTCCGGGCCAGGGCGTGGTGGGGAGAGGATGGGGACTTACCGGGAGATGGTGCCGTTGGTGGTGGCGCTGATCACCCAGAGCAGGTCTGTGATCTTGAAGGGCACCAGGATCATGCTGACGTTCTCCCCCAGTTCCTTGAAGCTCTCGGGGTACACTAGATGGTGGGTGGTCTTGCTGCCGACATCGGCCTCAAACCCCAGCGTGGGGGCCTTGTTCATCCTGGGCGGGGAGAAGCAGAGAGGAATGAGCGGTGCATCACGTGGGTGCCCACGCTCCCAGCCAGCGGCGACTCAATCCACTGGCCTTCAGCGCAGCCTCAGGTGTTGAATCTGCCTGGCCGGGAGCCCCTGGCCCTGCTCACTGAAGCAGAGGCAGCAGGACACTGCTCTTGCACGATCTCAGGTGGATCTTGCACAGGTGCTCCATAACTGATCATCAGACACTATCTGCAGCCACCTCAGGACATTGAATGGCATGCCCACCAGGCACGAGCCTCCAGGTCCTTGGTCAAGGATCCCTGTGCCCCCAAGAGGTTGCCCAAGGCCACGGAGGCGCTGCAGGCGGTCTCCAACATGGGACAGATGCCCCCCACACACTGTGAGTCTTCCCACTGGATATCAGGGATGCAGGGCCACCCCACGGCCACCAGGTGACCCGTCCCAGAAACAAGAGACCGCCGGGAAGTCACTCGGGACCACCAGTCCCACCCCTGCTTAGATGTCTCCCCCTGCAGCCCCTGTGTCCTTGGGCTCTGTGGGCAGCACGGTGGGGGTTACAAAGAGCCCAGGTGGATGTGGCGGTCACCGGGATTCCTGTCTCACGTGATGACGCGGGAAACCCAGGAACACCAGATGCAGGACATCAGTCTGCTCTGCAGAGGGGAGCAGTGGTCCGAAGGAAAGTGAGAGCGTCTCCCCATCTCAGCGGGCCTGCGTGCTAAGCTCCCAGCCTCGGGGCTCAGCGTCCACTCTTGTCCCTTGGCAACCCTCCCAATGCAGTTCCCTCTGCAATGCAGACGGGAAACTAAGGCCCAGAGTGGGGAGGGAGGGGCCTGGCGCCCACCGGAAGATGAGGCCACCAAGGCTGGGCCCTGGGCCCCTTAGCAATGGCCCAGATGTTTTTCTGGCCTGGAGAGGCCCTCAGGGTGCGGGGCTGGGCACTGGAGGCACCCATGGATGCAGCTCCTAGTGCCGGGCTGAGGGGTGCTCACCTCAGCACGAAGTCATGCTCGTCTATCTGGGCACCGTACTGGGAGGCCTTCAGGTTGCCTGAGTTGCCCACCACGGCGCAGCGCCGGCAGCCCACTGCCTCATTGTCCAGCATGGGGTCCGTGTCCCCGGGCACCAGGCTGAACAGCTCCCTGATTGTGTCGTTCAGGTTCCGGGGAATCTTCTCTCGCTGCAGCTTCTGTGGACAGAGGAGGCTTATCAACCTGGCTGAGCTCTGGGCCCCAAGCTCCCTGTGGCTACTCATCCAGCCTACTGGCCATGGCCATGAGGGCGCCTTCTTGCTGCTGTGTGCCTGGAGATGGCGGGGCTCACACAGTCCAGGCTACTCTGGGAGATAAAAGGTAAGGGAGCATTCATTCATTTAATCATTCATCCATCCACCCACTTACCCATCTCTCCTCCCACACATCTAGCCTCTCATCCACCCACCCACCCTTCCATTCATCCATCCTTCCTTCCATCCATTCATCTATACATATATCCATCCATCCATCCATCCATCCATCCATCCATCCATCCATCCTTCCTTCCATCCATCCATCCACACATCCATCCATCCTTCCTTCCTTCCATCCAT